GTCACTCTACCAAAAGCTAAAACTCGTTTCGGTCTCTTTTCAGTTTCTTTCATCGGTTCCGACCGTTGGAATGCACTCCCCGCTGCAGTCCGCTTATGCTCTTCACTGCACCTATTCCGTAATTCACTACTTTCATTTCTAGGGTACCCTGTAAGAAGGCCTTAGGCCTGTGGGGATTGCCCTATCAAAAATTTGATAATAATAATAATAATAATGGCCTATGGTCCGGACCAACGTCCCCATCTGCATCCACAGGTAGGAACCTCGTGCTACTGGTGCGTTCGGGTCCCGTCATTCGCGATTTAGGTGGATCAGTTCGCATTTGGGGGGAAAATGGGCCAGTTCTAATTTCTTACTTTTACGACGGGGCAGTACCAGTAAAGGTTTTTCAGAACCGCTCACAGAGCGATTTTTATATGGATAATTTCAGCTCTTTTTCCGTTCCCTCCCCTAGGCCTTGACGGATTATGCTAGCATAATTTTTCGCATAATTTCTACCAAAATCGAATAATCGCATAATTCGAGGCAAATTGCATATGAATCGCATAAATTGTAATAATCCGCCTGTTCGCATCATATTCCATACAGTCGTACATGTACATGTTCTACAAGTACAAGTACTAGTAGATGCACTAGGAAGTCGTAGGTTTACGACTCCCTTGAGAACATGTCCAGTCCACTACAATCAGTGACGGTCGTAGCTAGGTCGGACCCCGTTGAACTTCGTTGAACTTTTGCTAATACAGTACAACGCCTTCTACAAAACAATTCCCCTGGTATTTTGCACAGAAGCATCATATACATCAGCAGCATATGTGAGCTTAATGCGGCATAATATGATAACTTTTAGCATAAAAATAGCATAATTCTGCAATTTTTTCAGCAATGCGAAAAGCATAATTTCACGAAAATATTAGCATAATCCGTCAAGGCCTACCCTCCCCACCCCAACTACACAAACATGTGTATGCACACGGCACACACACGTGGCCACGCACACATACGCACATGCACACGACACAAACAGGAAATTCTTCATGTATAATGCCATGCAAAGCAGTGGCCACCGTACTTGAGGAAGTCAGTCGTGAAACAAAAATAATTCAACTACAGCGTGTAGACAAGCTGACGGCCAAAGCACAACATAGCAAACATGACATTTGCCCAAGGATTGTAGTTTGCAGACCATGCCATGGAAGCAGCGAATACAGAATGTAATATCATACAAAGTGACAAGCAAGGACGTGGCCATCATACACCAGAAACTTGCAGAAAGTCACATATCCAACAGTTAGAGAAGTGAACAGCAATCTGATACAGCCCACACAGGACAAAGCGGACCTGATACTCGTCCCAGGATCGCAAGTGGCAAACCCTTTTCAATGCATAACATGCAGGTGTACGTTAGACGCATGAACATCTGACCGTGTCGCCAGCATACAATGTCATCACATGTTTACCCCACAAGGTACACACATGCACAGTAGAAGCACAATGAAAGCAATGGAAAAGTACGATGTGGTTGCTGAAGCATCTTCACACTTCAAATTCAGACTTCAATGTGGTCGTCACGGGATGATATACCTGCAAGATACAAGTGATGAAGAAAGAAAGCAGAAGGTCGTGAGGTAGGCTATGAGACACCACAAATGGTTCACCTACATGTCTGTTCAGGGCTAGTGCACTCACACGCAGAATTGTCATAATCGAGCATTTCCCAAACTGAGAAGTGCAATGAAATCCACTTGCATGCACAGGAGCAATTTTGCAATATTATGATGCGCAATTCGACACGATCTGCGATGCTGCGTGCGATGTGCCCTGCTGTCATGATAGTGACAGTCACCGCCGTATGTCTTGTCAACGTCGCCCGTGCACTCTTCTGTCAAGTCCAAAGTGCTCACATACTTGGCAATGTTTTTGCAGTGATTAACTTTTATCCTAGTTATGTCACGGGTAACTTTAATGAAGTACCCGCAGGCCGTGTCGATCTGCACATCGTCCACTCTCTCATGTACTTGGCCTGCTTTGTCTGTGTATCCATTTCATGTGCGATCCACAAAATCGACTAGACAGTGGGTGCAATACGCTCTCTACCTGAAGACGTTCTTCTGGCGACATCTCGCCATGTACTTGGCCTGGCTTTGTCTGTGTATCCATTTCATGTTCGATCAACAAAATCTCAATGCACTACAGAGACTAGACAGTGGGTGCAATACGCTCTCTATCTGAAGACGTGAACCATTAAATTTTTTGGAAAAGTTATACGTGACCTGAAACGTAATGAAGTACAGGAATAGAGAGAGTGACTACAATACGCTCTCGACCTGATATAGTGATAACGTGAGTACAAGACACTCTCCACCTGATAACGTGTTAGAAGGTAACATGTCTACAGTCCTAGTCCTACTAGTCCCACCGTACCCTTCCGACACGACTGTAGACCATTAATTTTTTTTGAGAAGTTATACGTACACCTTAAACGTAATGAAGTACAGGAATAGAGAGAGTGACTACAATACGCTCTCGACCTGATAACGTGAGTACAAGACACTCTCCACCTGATAACGTGTTAGTAGAAGGTAACAGGTCTACAGTCCCACCGTACCCTTCATCATTCCTCATTCACCATCGCGCGATACCCTGGCACACACTGGCAACATATCAATGGGGTGCCTTACCGCGATACCGTCGTCTAGAGGAGACGTCTTCGCAGCAATATTTTCCCTCCTGCGCATTCAGTCGCCGACGCGACAGCGTTCACGGGGCCGTTCCAGCTGCGGAAGACATTCGATTCATCGGGCCAATTCAGCAACAGGGCCGTGGACACACAGGGGGCAGAAGAGAGACATTGTTAGTGGACAAGAAATATGCAGTGGCAAGTGGCGAGTGCCGCATGGATGTCAAGTTGTCATGCACAATTCAGCTATTACTTACGGTCCAGCTAGTCCTGCCATTGCTCGCTCGTCCTGGTTCCTCCTCGTTCGTCTTCCTGCACGTCTGCACTTCTCCTTCCCCACCGTTGGCTTTGCGGTACGGGGGTGCCGGAAGGAATTCCCACCATGTATCCATGTACATGAAGTCTCACCATGACTCTCCATGTACATGTCCACGGCCACGTCAGCAGTTTGTATAGTACCGGAAGGAGTTCCCACGATGTCTCCAAAGGCCTAGAGCGGACGTCTTTGCAGCTTTTCGCCCTGCGCATTCAGTTCGCCGACGATGTCTCCAAAGGCAATGGCCTAGAGCCTAGTAGAGGGGACGTCTTTGCAGCAATTCTTTTCACCCTAGTACCCTGCACATTCACTCCGCCGACACGACAGCGTTTACGGGGCCGTTCCAGGTGCAAAAGGTCCACGTCAGCAGTTCTCAACTATTTCGCGTACGGGATAGTCGCCGCGACAGCGTTTAAGGGGTCGTTCCAGGTGCAAAAGGTATCCATCAATGGCACTTTGCAGTATGGGGTACGGAAAAGGGACCTCCTCGTTCGACTTCGTCGACTTCTGCAGTTCTCCTTCCCGTCAGGGGTACCGAAAGGGGCCTCCTCGCAGTTGTCCTTGCCGTCAGGTCCACGTCATGCAATTCTCAACTATTTCGCGTACGGGATAGTCGTCTTTGTCGTACGCGACATCGGCGTTTACCGAGTGGCATTGGCACAAAGCAGACCGTTGACGGGGTCACGTGTCAAAAAAGTATCAACAATGTGTCGACTACGTGTCGACCACGTGTATAGCGGTACACTCAGCGGTACACTAATTCTCGTGCCATTCTCGTGTCACAAAACTGGAACATCGAGAACCAGTATGGAAAGGCTTCAGACAGGAAGCCTTTCCAATGTATGGCGTGCCTGGGTCACGCATTCAGTACGCATGCCATGCCCCGTCAAGTCACTGCGTGTCTTATTTGGCAAAAGACCTATTCCGCCGTGGGCGTTTGTATCTGCAGATTGTGCAGGAGAGATCCGGAGTTGCACACTCTTGTTTATCTACTCTTGCTATTATCTCTCATGGTAAAGAGTACAGCCCACACGCTCTCTTCCAGGTTGTGAACCTGATAAAGGCAATTTGCCGAAACGTTGGAATAATTATTGTGAAAGTTCAAACGAGTTGAACTATTGCAGTGTTAATGGAAGACAGCGTGTGGGCGCGGGCTCTACTGTTACCTTCACCATTTTGCGAGAACTGTGGCAATACGCCCAGTGAGAAGGCAGATTTTGCCTGTGATCCTGGTGAAGTAAAATAAAGCTAAACAAACAAACAAGCAACTGTTTATGAAACTGCAGGAAGCCTCCCCACTTTTACTTATTTTATTCTCTCTCTCTCTCTCTCTCTCTCTCTCTCTCTCTCTCTCTCTCTCTCTCTCTCTCTCTCTCTCTCTCTCTCTCTCTCTCTCTCTCTCTCTCTCTCTCTCTCTCTCTCTCTCCTCTCCCTGTCTCTGTCTCTCTCTCCGTCTGTCTGTCTGTCTGTCTCTCTCCCCCTCTCGCAGAGACCCTTCCGGGATGCCTAACATTGTGAAGATAGAGGGAGTAGAACTGAAGTTACGATCCAAAGGACTTGAACATATGCAGAATTGTTCCTTCTGCACCCCCCCCCCCACCCACTCTCTCTCAGGCTCTCTCTCTCACACACGCACGCACGCAGGTACACACACTACTGACTATTGACAGCTGCCAGAAATGGCCACGCCGCTCCCCAAAGGGAGGTACTGTCAGAGAGGTTAGGGAAGAGATAGGCAGTGCTTCAAATGGCGCTCCAGGTCCTGTCACCTCCGAAACTGGCGTTGATTACAGACTCGGCAATGATGTTCAAAGTGCTGGCGATCAGTCACTGTAGGGCGCTTCGGGCAGGGTCCACAGCGATGGCGCGCGCACACACACACACACACACACACACACACACACACACACACACACGACCCCCCCCCCCCCCCAACCCAACTTCCCACCCCGTACACACCCACACATGAGACGAACACTGACAGTTCTGTAATAATGTGCATGTAAGATCAGAGATGACTTCGAAAGCTATCATTGACAAAATAATCAACCAGAAAGATCATCGCACAGGTTTTTCCATGCGCACCAACTAATGAAACACTGGCAGAATATGAAAGCAATAGGTCCGACAGGCTGTTTGAACAGGCTGTTTGAAAATGCCAAGGTAACATAATAATAAAATAGCAGTACTCAATCTCATACGGACGTGAACATATCACTATAGGGAGGTGGAGCAGCTATGGCTGTCCTGTACGTAGGAGGTGGCATGCGTGCCATGTACTCCTCCACTGGATCTCTTCTTCTTGCGGCTGCCTGTGGCAGCTGCGGAGGCGTCAGTGTTTCCACCGTCAACTGTACATACCTGCAGCCAATGCATGCGTGTGTGCATACACACGTACACATACACACACACACGCGCACACACACAACACACACAACACACACAACACACACACACGCATCCGGAGTCGGGTTTAAAATCGCAATAGTGACTACATCATGAGCTGTTTGCATTACTGAGCAGCGCTTCTTCAAGTGCCAGTCAATGTCTGCAACGAGCAAATATCAACGGACATGGCTAAATTTCCGATTTCGCTCAACGTTGGCTCCTTTCTCTAGATTTTGAGCAAAATCAAAAAAATCGATAAAAATACGAACTGAAACACCTTCAAACAAGGTACAAGAACGAGGGTTCACTGCTGCTCACAACAACGCAGCGCAGCCAAACCAACTATGTTTGCACACCGATCCTAGTTACCCAGTGATGTTTAATTAGCCAACCAAATTTCGATTGGCGACTTGCTGAGTCCCTTGAACGAATCGATCGATTCAGCCTGTCCAATGGCGGCCATTATAAATAAATAAATTTCACGGTTCGCGTGAGACTTGGCTGGAACCCGAGTTTTCCGCATCTGCCGTGGGAACGCCACCACCCTCTGGGATCAACGCGCAGATGCAGCGCCTAAACGGTGGGAGGTGAGTAGATCAGACCCACCACAAAGTGGTCAAAGACAGCAATCCCATAAGCTGCATCCATGTTACCCTCGTGCCAGGGTAACATGCCATTGTGAAGGCCATTTTCAAGGGCCAGTAGCAGCGGGGTTACGTCCTGAAATTGGGGGTAGACCGCCGCCATAGTCTGCTACAGCATGTCCCCAAGCGCCAACAAGTGATAGTCTTGAATAAAGTTATCCACTAAAAATCATTTGGGGAAATATCCAAATATTGAACTCTCCAACGGCCATGCACTGGCCGAATCCAACCTCGTGACAGGAAAGCACACACAGAGCGTCTCCATGTGCCTTTTCGCTACGCTATCAGCACTGAGATATCATGGGCATAATCCCGTCTCTCGCAGTTTGTGAATGAGGTTTGAAGCGGGGTGGTCGTGGCCCAAGGTGAACTGGGGCATGATCCTAAATAGTGGTAGCGACTCCTGCAATAATATCATAGGAAAGGGCTGGACCCCCACACTGGAGCTTGCGCCTATCATGCTCCTGGCAATTAATCACATGAAAGTCCCATGTATTCATTTCTTTGAAGAAAAGATGCAATCAGGAAAAGTCTGAAGAAAAAATGGCATGTTCTGAACTTTACCTGTTGTATGCCAGGGTTAGTGCCCCCAGGAGAACGAAAAAGGCCAGCGAGAGCAGCGCAAGCCAGATGTAGTCCCAGTTTTCCATTCTTGTGTGTGGCTCGACCTGTGTGTTCAGATAATGACGCATCGGCGGAAGGAATGCATGCACGCGCACACACACGCACGCACATGCACACACACGTGCACGCACGTGCAACATAGAACATGGAGTCACCGGAAGCAGATAAGCACTCATACTATAGCAAAAATATCAAGTACGGAATCAAGGACGGGGGGGGGGGGGGGGGGGGCAGATGCTAAATGAGGATTGGCGATTTTTTTACCGCTTCGAACTTTCAACCCTCAAAGTAGCTTCATGTACATTGGTTTCGCCAAGGATCATGTTCTGGATGATGCGTGATCCAAAATTTCAGCCCCTGAGTCTAGGAAGGAATAAAATTATTAATTTCCATGTGCTTAGAGAGTGTAAGCGTACAACCTGCCGCCAATGCATATTCGATTACGACTGGCGATGCTTTTGAAGGGGCAATCGAGGTAGAGACGAAGGGTGGCGGTGGGTCATGGGGGGGGGGGCTGCTGCTTGACCCAACAAGAACACTGAGGGATCTTGTTTATATGCCTATCTCATAATTATAGAAACCCGTTTGGAACGAGAGAGCTTGGAAGCTCAGGGCCCTACGCTATGCTTTTCTGCTTGCTCATCATGCATGTAACGTGTCAAAGCTGTGTGGACCCTGGCTAGCGCCAAATGATACTGAAGCAACGTCTGTTGCATAGCTACGGGATTAAATTTTGTGTTTATTTTTTATTTATTTTTTTGTCACGCCTGGCGCTATCCCGTATTTGTCCCGTACCGTACTGTACCATGAAAGACAGCTGGACACAATATTTTTGTTTGTTTGTGCCAAGGGCATGCCTGGCGCTATCCCGTACCTGTCTCGTTTCTGCCGATCACGGGCGTTCTGGAGTCGACGGGATGTCTGTCCTGACATTTCCTGTGACCGGTAGGCATATGCGGATAATGCCGGCAGAAAAATGGGCAGAATTCGGTACTTTTTCTGGTAAGTTTCATGCATGTTTGGTATGTGGATAAAGAAATGGAGCAGAATTCGAGGAATTGCCCGGCATAAGGTTTGTATGGTTCTGCCAATTTCACTGCATTTCGAGCAGAATCTGCCACCCTTTCGAGCATTATCCGCACACCCCTAGTGACCGGCGCTGACTCTGCCGATCACGGGCGTTCTGGAGTCGACGGGATGTCTGTCCTGCCGTTTCCTGTGACCGGCGCTGACTCTGCCGATCACGGACGTTCCGGAGTCGACGGGATCTCTCTTCCGACGTTTCCTGTGACCGGCGCTGACTCGCCCGTTCAGGATTATTTTGGAGACGACGGGATCTCTCTTCCAAAGTATGTTTTTGCTGACGCATCCTGTCACCTATTCGACAGCTAGCGTCCATTCTAATTGCATTTCCTCGTCTCCCTACTTCGTATTTCTTTCCAGAAAATTTCCCTATACAGCAGGAAGTCATTTACATAATACGACTCCCTGTTATACATCTATGTACGTTATAATTATTATGCTATCGGCCTACATGCGATTCCCGGGCTGGTCGACAGGCGGCCCAGCCAGCCTGCTAGTGGGATCGCGGCCTCGCACACAAACCCACACAAAATGTTAAGCACTATCGGCCTGAATGCATTCCCCCGATACTAGGGGTGAAACGAGTATCTATTTTGACCAATCGATCACTTGTTCATAATATTCGATCGAGTATCCGATTATTTCGAGTATTTTATCAAAAATTCAAAAGCTCTAGATTTGTGAGTTCTCGACCTATTGGGAAGAAATTATCTGTGAACATAGAACAAAAGTCGCCAACGTCTTGTACAAAGTGTATTAAAAGTAACGAGTTTTCATCAGTACATTCATAACTAACGTTACTTGCCGTGGTGATCCCATCGTCCAAGTCATAAAATACTGACTCAAAGGCATGCATAACGCATGCATACCATGTACCAGTGGACGAGCGGTGCAACGAAAGTTTTTGAAAAATAGAATGCCAATACAAAAAAAACAAAAAAAAACGATCGAGTGCAAAATTTCGAATACTCGCTCGTTTGAAATTTTCGAACGAATACTCGAATATTCGAACTAATCGTTTCACCCCTACCCGAAACACTTCGCATATATACTCATTCTCTTGATGGTACGGGACAGGTATGGGATAGCGCCAGGCATGCCGATGGCACAAACAAACAAAAATATTGTGGCCCGATAGCTGTCTTTGCTGGTACGGTACGGGACAGATACGGGATAGCGGCAGGCGTGACACAAACAAACACCAAATTATAGCTGTGTGGACCCTGGCTAGGGTCAGACGTTACTGAAGTAACGTCTTCTGCATAGCTACGGGAATAAAAGCCTGATTTTCAAGATCCACTACTGGCACATAAGCCTGCTTTTAGCGTTGGCGAACCGTACTCGCGTGATTAGAGTCCTATCTCGAATAGTGTCCCAGTCTTCAAGAGCCAGTGAAAAAAATGAAGCCCTCTCTTGAATAGCCCTCCCCCCCCCCCTCCCTCGGGCTTGTAACGAAGCGCACGTGCACGTTTGGTGTTCTTTCACTAATATTCTTGTCCATATCATTGCAGTGGTGGTTTCAAGATCAACATCACAGATTCACAGTTTGTTACGGAGGTTTATCGTCCCGTAACGGACTAAAGATCGGTTGGCTAGCACGAAACAAGGAAGCCTCGAAACTCAACGAACGTCGCCATTCTTCTCTCAAAAATCTGTTCAAGCTCACAACGAGCTCCGTCGAAAACTTGATCGACAGCAAAAGTAAAAGAGCGTACGTGTTCGTACGCGTGCAGAGTGCAATATTGCAATGTGCAATGCAGTGCAGTGCCCAAAAACAGAAACCCGTGACGAATGCATGCGGCAAATACGGCGTCGCGTCCGGAATCGCGGTACGCGACGACGCGTTTGCGGAAATCAAGATATGAAAACGCTGCGCCAGTGCAGAAGCAAGAAAACAAGAGAAACGAAAATTCAAGTGTGAATTGTAAAGAAAAGAGAACAAAGGACTTGAAATACTTCCTGTGCAGAGAATCTGTGCTGGTGAAATATGTCTATCAATCTGCCAGTGAGTGGCAACACCCCAACGGGTGATGACAAACCCTGTCAGAAACTGCGGGGCGTAGAATAGAAAAAACTATGGAACGCGGAGCGAACGAAATCAGGTGAGAATCTGCACAAGGATAATTATGGCAATTCCTGTGGAACGAATGTCTATTACAACCGACTAGAGAATAGATCTTGACTGCTACTTTGTAATTCATACAACTAGCGCGATACTAATAAGGAGAACTGAATTGTATCGACGCAACAATATGTCTCAACTACAAACGCTATATTAAAATACAACAATACATTCTGAGAACGAGAGAGCTTGGAAGCTCAGGGCCCTACGCTATGCTTTTATGCTTTTTTGCCTAGCTCATCGTACATATTATAAGAACTGAGGCAAAAGTATTTGCAGAATTTATTGCGGATTGTTATTTCTCCATGGCCAGCAATCGAGGACATCTGAGAGTTGTAATTTTTGTACTTCTCCGAGGTGTGATTTTTGGCGTGCTGGGCCAAGCACAAGGAAGCCATCTGCAAAAAAACTGCAGAAAATGGTTGTTGTTTGATCCTTTGCTGTAATCTTTGTTTCTATAGTCCATTTCAAAAAGATTAGCAATCAGGTTTTGGTCTTAAAAAGTATGAAGATAAGGGAAATTTGGACAACAAAGTACATAGAATGGCTTGTTAGGACACGGCAAATTGTTCTGTGAAGGTTTCGGAACAATTGGACCAGCCGTTAGGGAGTTAAAATTTCGGCCAGGTTTCCGGCCTTTTCCCATGATTTACAATTTGCCCTGGATGTCAGTATCGATTTTTTATCAAAACCCACGATTTATCCTTTCCTTTTTGGCCTTGTGGTTATGAATGCTGTCTGCTGACCATGAAGTTGTGAGTTCAAATCCCAAACTATCTTCAAGTCAAACTTTTTTTTCATAGTTTTGGTGTTCACTCTGGTACAAAAAGTACAAGCCAAACTGAGAAGGTGGCTGCGCCAAACGACTTGTCTGCTTTTCTCAAAATGTCGTCGAAGTCACACGGATAGCTTTGCCTAGTCATGGCTTTGGGAATGAGTCTGTGTCGATGTCGTTTTCGTCACATCGTGAGAGTAAATTGCATCGCAGCTCAAAGAAATTGGGCACGAAACGAATTGGGACCCATCCCGCTCGTCAACATTTACCACACTTTCGACATGTCCTCTCTGACTCCATGTCGATACGAGGAAAAACTCGTTTGTTGTCAACCAGACGTGCATGTACATGTACATGTACCGATGTGAGTGAGTTATCATTAATTTTGTCATGCTTTCGCGCGGATTATTTCTTCGAGTTCACAGTGAGTTTTTCCAGCCAGCTCTCGAGCGCGCATACGGTAAGACGGCAAACTCCCCGGGCGATCGCCAGGATTGCTAATCTTTTTGAAACTGACTGTAGTCGAAGCTAGTTGCTGTTTGGAGCAGAAACGCTGAAATTGACTATTTTCTGCATGTACTCATACATGTACTCATGTACTCAGTCATGCAGTCTCACTCGTATTTTAGCTCTTTTTCTGGAATGGATGCTGCTCTGCGCCCCTTGGTGAACCTTTCCTGCGCTCCTGGAGCAGCTGAAAAGGACCACTGGTATGTCTGGTTCCTGGTTTGAAAGTGGAGACTCGACTTTTGTGCCTTGAAAAAGGAGTAGAGAGCGATAAAGGTACGTCTGTGGCTTATTTTTGAGTGCTCCTCGTACATTTTTGATCGTGATAGAAATTCTCAGACCAAAGTCAGACCAAAGTCAGCGCGATGATGGCTGTACAGTTTTCTTGTGGATTTTTTAGTTGTTTCATCTCGTATCTATGTCAGTATCGTGATGGTGAAGTGGAGAGGGTGATTTTCTTCCTCTAGGCTTCGTTCGGCCGACTTTGCTTCGTCCTCGTTGAAAAGTGATCCGGAAAAAAAGGTAGATTCGAAAAATTATGTTGATTTTCAAAGTAC